TACTCTCACCTACCCTGAAACATCTCTCGGTAGTCTGGTACTGTATGAGTTGTTGCCCAATGCCCTCATATTAATCGCTAAGATGATCATTGCACACGGAAAACAACATCGCTTAGCACCTGCGCGGTTACCGTATGTTGCTAAAAAAAGAAGGCATGAATCTACCAAATAGTATTAAAGATCACAAACTAAAATTGCATCCCACTCTGCCCCAACACCCCTACCCTTTTTCCCCACCCATTTTTCCTCCAATTCCGTCCCCTGCCAGTGAGCACTTCTAGGGTGTTCTAACCCTTCGCTCAGAAACTATCAGGCCCAAATCAGGCTTTTCTTTGAGGAACTCCGGAATGATTCTGATTGAACCGCAGCACCTGATTTCCACCTGCCAGAGCCGTTGCAGATGCCTCATGGACCTGGGTAGTTCAGTCATTTTTGGCAGAGTGGTAAGCTGTAGCCATTCAAGTGATGAGAGTAACCCTATATTGGTCGGTAACTGCTCAAAATTTTCGCATTCTTCGACGATGAGCTCCGATAGGCGGCGAAGATAGGGAAAAGAACTGGGTAGCTCGCTGAGGAGGTCGCAATATTGCAGGGTTAATCGCTCTAGGCGAGGTAGCCGCCCGAAAGATTCTGGCAGCTCAGAAAGTCTGGGCAGGTTCGAAAGTTTCAAGGTACGGAGACTGGAGAGGTTCCCAAATGCAGCGGGGAGCGAAGGAAGGAGATCGCAGGAGGAGAGATCGAGTGAGGTGAGGGAGGATAGGAGGAGAAGAGAGGGTGGTAAAGCTCTGAGGTTCTCAAGCAGTGAGAGATGGAGGGAGGTCAGGCGGGGTAGGAGGCCGATAGTGGCAGGTAAGCGTCTGAGAGATTCACATTCTGTTATGGAGAGTGACTGTAACGATTGCATGGTGGCCATAGAGTGTCGTAATGCTGAACTCCCTGAGTCAATCCTCTGCTTCTTTGCTGCTGGAAACCCCTTCTCATCCCCATCTTCCTCCTTATCTCCTTCCCCCTCCCATTTCCCTCCTCTGCCTCATCTTCCTCCACTTCCCACTTGCCCCTCTCGTTCCTCTCAACCCTCTTGTCCCTTTCGTCCTCCCCCTCGTCCTCATCATCCCCCTCTCCTACTTCATCCTCCTCCCTCTCCTCCTCCTCGCCTTCCCCTCCTGGAACCTCTTTCATAACGGCTACTAGCGATTTACAACCTTCGATGTGAAGGAATTCCAGGGAGGAAAGTAGGCAGAGTGAGGATGGGAGGGAGGAAAGAATGGGGCAATGACCGATGTGCAAGTGAGTGAGGGAGGGAGCGAGGAGCGAGAGGGTTTCCGGGATGGAGGAGACGTTAACGAGGTGTGAGAGAGTGAGGGTGGCGAGGGAGGGGAGTGAGAAAAGGGAAGGCGGGAGGTGTGTGATGTGGGGGTTGTGCCACAGGTCGATGTGAAGTGCCCGCAGCGACGTCACCGCACTCAACCCCTCTAGCGCGGTCGGCTCAGCAGAGGTGGAAAGCAAGGCGTTTTCGGCGGCAGCAGCAGCAGCAGTAGTGGCAGCAGCACCATCAACACCAGCAACAGCAGCAGCAGCAGCACCAGCAACACCAGCAACAGCAGCACCATCAGCACCAGCAACAGCAGCACCATCAGCACCAGCAACAGCAGCACCCGCGCCAGCAGCAGCAACAGCAGCAGCAGAACTACTTGCTCTTATAGGGCTCCCATCGAGGGGTGCCCTTAGCACCGGTGTTTGGCTGTCAGCGCCAGCAGAACTGCTCACAGAATTGGTATCGCCTGTCATATTCGTAGTCATTGCATCACTAGCAGTGCCGATTGCACCAGCGGCACTAGAAATGGTAGCACGACCGGAGATAGTGGCAGTGCCGCTGATGGTTGCAGTACCAGCCAACAATGCAATACCGCGTATAAAAACAGTGCCAGTTATCACAACCATACCGGTAGAACCATCTTCGCCTGTTATCCTCGCAGCACCAGTCACAGTGGCCGTGCCGGAAACAGTAGGAATGTCAGGTTCGGCAGCAGGGTCGGCTGTAGCGGCAGAGTCGGCTGTAGCAGCAGAGTCGGATGTAGCAGCAGAGTTGGTTGAAGCAGCAGAGTCAGTTGTAGCAGCAGGGCTGGCTGTAGCAGCAGCGTTGGGAGTGATTTGAGGCGGCGGGCGGCCGAGGGAAGAGAGTCGGTACAGGGCCAAGTGGTGGAGGGATGTGAGGCGGGAGAGGAAGGACGGAAGGAGGGAGAGGCGGACGCATTGCGAGATGGTCAGGGAGCGGAGAGAGGGGAGAGGGGCGGGGGAGGAGGGAGGAGGCGGCGAGGGAGGAGGCGGCGAGGAGGGAGGCGGCGAAGGGAGGGGAGGAGACACGTCAGCCTCCGATGCAGTGTGGCAAGGAGGCATCGTGCCGGCATGAACAGTATTATCCCCTTCAAAGAGTGCCTCCATACGTGCGTTATAGTCCACTTCCAGATGCTGCAGCAACGGCAGCCATTGCCAGGCATGCGGCAGGGCTGACAGGCGCTTACAGCGGCACACACGCAGGCTCGTGAGCGATGGAAGGAACACCGGAATGGGAGATTTGCCTCTGCTGCTGCTGCTGCTGCTGATGGTGATGGTGGTGGCGCCGGTGGCGAGGTGAGGAGCTGCTGCTTCCTGGGAAGAGCTGCGGTTGCCTGCAGTCGCTTCACTGAGTGGTGAAGGAAGAGGAGGAGAAGGGAGAGTGGTGAGAGAGGCACAGCCGGAGAGGTGCAAGGAGGAGAGGGAAGAGAGAAGCGTGAGGGAGCAGGGAAGGGCCTGCAGGGAGTCGCACGAAATGATGCTGAGGTCGCGGAGAGAGTGGGAGAGGAGGTGGAGGGAGGAAGGGAGTGAGGAGAGGCGTGGGAGGCCGGAGAGAGTGAGGGAGCGGAGGTTGGGCATGAGAGAGAGCTCGTCTGGGAGGGAGGAGAGAGAGGAGCAGTCCGCTAGAGTGAGGTGGATTAGGGACGGAGATAAGGCGGCGAAGGTACTCCCTGAGATTTCGCTGATTTGTTCCCAACTGAATAACTCCAGACATTCTAATCCCTGGCATAACCCCTCCGCGTACTCCTTACGATCAGCCCCGCTATAAGCCTCCTCCGTGCCCCGTTCCAGAATTCCCCCAGAGTTTCCATCGGCTTCTGTTGCGGCTGCGGTCTCCCCGGACGGGGGAGCGGCGGCTTCTGCGGCGGGAGGAGGATCAGCGGCGAGGATCGCGGGCAGCGAAGCGCGCAGGCGGGGGAGATAGCCGAGGGTGAGCGCGCGGAGGCGGGGGAGGCGCGCGGGGAGGCGCAGGGGAATGGCGGAAATATAATAGGACTCGCGGAGCTCGAGGGACTCGAGAAGGGGGAGCGCGGCGGGGAGGGTTGCGGGGAGGGAGCGGAGGAAATGGCGGGTCAGGGAAAGGTGGCGGAGGGAGGAGAGTGTGGAGCGACGAGGTGGGGGAGTAGGGGGGTTGTGTGGGAGCGGGAGGGAGATGACTGGAAGAATCGACGAAGCTTTGTTCTTCTGATCCGAGTCGCTGTTACTGAAGTCCTCGTCTGACGACCATTCGTCGTCAGAATAGTTGTCTGATTGGTTAATACGGCCTCCGTCAACGTCCGTTCCCGTTGAAAAGCAGGCTGGAAGTTTCGACAGGGAATCCGAGCGAATAGATAGACGGACGAGAGCGGAGAGCTGACAGAAACCGTCAGGAAGGCGCCTCAGTCCATACCCAGTGATCACTAGCGCCGTCAAGTGATGTAACTCGCAGATTGACGGAGGGAGGCGGGTCAGATTAGGCGGGCAGTGCAGCTGCAGAGACTCGAGCCGCGGGCAGGAGGAGAAAAAAACCGCCAGCCCGGCAGCAGTGAAAGAAACCCGGGGATCCCATTGAGGCCCTTTTGTCGCAATGCCTTTGAGACTAGGAAGCAATCGCGGCTCGCCCATGTCTCCCAGGTGGAGTTGAACGAGGGATGGACACGAGGCAGCTAGCTGGGTCAAGAAATGATCGTTGGCCAATGAGAGGCTGCCGTTTGGCAGGGTGAGCGATCTCAGCGACGGGAACGAAGGGAGACCTTTCAAGAAACGTCCGGTGCACAGCCGACGGTTCTGCGACAGCGCGACGTGCGATCGAGTCGCGCATGCGACGCGGTGCCAATGGCGACAGACGAGAATGAAGCTACCCTGAAGATTCGATTTCGACCGCCATAAGGGTTTCGAGTCTATGCTCGGGGGACTTAAAAGCGGCCGATCTCGGTCTGATTCGACGTAGCGAAACACAAACCCTGAGTTCTGACCGCGAGAGTGCTGCTGCAAACGGGGAGCTGAGGAGTCGACACGTGGCGTCGGTGCGACGTAGCTGAAGATTCGACCAAGCAGATCGTCCGATAATTGATGGATCGAAGCTGACTCTATAGCGCTGGCTTCTATCGCCTGGTTGGAATCGGCCATGGCTTCCATGTCTAGAGAGGTCGGAAGTAGCTATGGAGGGTTCAGGAACTAGTTGGCAACGGGATTTGGGACTCGGGATTCTCGAGGCTAAAGCTAGGTGATCTCATTCATGTTGTGGATAAGGAGGAAGCAGACGCCGCAACATTACCACACAGAATCGCACCGTACCGCAGTGTACCGTGCATGACCAGAATCCCAGACCACGAACTTCGTGTCAGAATGGCCCAATGGGAGTGCTTCGTCGTAGTGTATAGTCATGCGGACTACACCGCACATTGATTTGACCACAAGTGTAGAGAACGGTCCTTATGTTACACCCTGGTCACTGCTCTGGTAGGATGCGTGCGGTATATGATCAAGAATCAGATCTCTAAAGCGGTTGAAAGTAAGTCAACGCATTTTATATGCAGACGATAGTAGCACCAATGCTTACAACATTGCACCAATCTAGGCGGACTGCCTTGCACGCTCAATCAATGGTCGAAGCTGCTTCTTCTTGGCAAGAATCGTGAGGAAGTTGAGGAGGAGATGTCTTTCAAGGCTCCTCAAGAATCTAGCTATGTCGATTGCCTTGCACGCTCAATCAATGGTCGCAGCTGCTTCTTCTCGGCGAGAATCTTGAGGAAGTTGAAGAGGAAGGGGATGTAGTTGTGCTTCCTGCGAATGTTCTCCGTCCGCCACCGCCGGTACTTCTCCTCCTCCCCTGCTATTGAATCTGCATATCAGTGGTCGTGGTGGAGGCGGAGGGGCGAAACAATGAGTGAGGGGGTTTGACTAGAATTTATCTCCATCCGCCACCGCCGGTACTTCTCCTCCTCACCTGCGATTGAATCTGCACACAGTGGTGGTGCGAAGGAGAGGGGAAGGGAGGGTGGGGAAGGAGGGGGTGGGGGAGAGGGGGCTTGCAAAGCGTTCATGCAAGGGAAGGGAGTGTTCTCCGTCCGCCACTGCCACTACTTCTCCTCCTCACCTGCGATTGAATCTGCAAGACAGTGGTGGTGAGAGGGGGAACGCGGGCGGCAGGTTTGAAAAGATTTTTTATCTAACCCTAGCAGGTGAGGGAGAGAGTGTTTCCCGTCCTCCATGTTTCCCCCTCACCTGCTATTGAATCTGCATCACAGTGGGGAAGGGAGGGAAGAGGGGAGAGGGGGGGAAGGTTGAAAAGCGTAAACAAGACACAACAATAGGCCAAAACAAGTCTCTCGCACTTTGCACGTGCCTCCCCGCCTCCCACTTTGCACATGCCTCATCGCCCCTCACCTTGCACGTGTGCCATCTGCATTCCAGAACCACTGCCTTCCAGAATCAGTGCCTCAATTCAAACAGCTCACACATCCTTCTCTCACCTTGCACACATCTCATCACCCCTCTCACCTTGCACGTGTGCCATCTGCATCTCAATCTCCGCCAATTCCCCCTCCAACGCGCCCACATCCCGCCCCCCATCACCATCCACCTCCATCCCCCCACCCCCTCCCCCTCCACGCCTCTCAATCTCCCCCAATAACACCTCCTTCCGCGCCCTCAGAGCCCCCAGCCTCTCCTCCAGGGCCTCCTTGCGGTTGCGCACCACAGCCATGAGGTTGAACCGGATCTCACTCTCTCACCTTGCGCGTGCCCCACTATCCCTCTCACCTTACACGTGCCTCACCATCACTCACCTTGCACGTGTGCCATCTGCATCTCAATCTCCGCCAATTCCCCCTCCAACGCCCCCACATCTCCTCCTTCACCCCCATCCACCTCCATCCCCCCTCCCCCTCCGCCTCTCCTCTCAATCCCCCCCAGCAGCCCCTCCTTCCTCTCTCTCAGCGCCCCCAGCCGCTCCTCCAGGGCCTCCTTCCTGTTGCGCACCACAGCCATGAGGTTGAATCGGATCTCACTCTCCGCATACTTGTCAATGCGCTGCTGAATCACCGGTTGCACCATGCGTAACCATGCCATGTCATCCTCCTCTTCCTCCCCCTCCCTCTCGCCTTCCTTGTTCTCTCCCTTGGCTCCTTGCCCTCCTCCTTCTCCTCCTTCCATGCCTCCCTCTGGTTTCACGTCTGTTTTTTCCTCTCCTGGATCACCACCCGAACGTTTTCCCGAGCCTGGAATCTTCCCGAGCCGGATAGGTCCGGGCTTGAGTCCGTCCAGTTCATAAAGCACCCCATTGATCGGCACGTAGCTGATGAAATGATACACGTCGTCGTCCTTTTCTGCCGCCCGGGCCTCCTCGGCAGCCACTATGGCTTCCGGGCGGCTGAAGCTGTTGTGGGCGGCACGGATCGCCTCACTGTTGTTGATCGCCAGACCCTTCAGCTCGGGGGGAAAGTCGCGGGTGAAATAGCGGAGTGTGGAGAGCTCCGGACCGATTTCAATGCGGTTGGATGCGTTTAGGAGGATCGATATGATCGCCTGGGTCGCACATGCGTTGCTAATCACCTGAGCAGGGAAGGCCGAAGAGGAGGAGTGCGTGAGGTAGGACTCAAGAGCAGGTTCACATGCAACTTTCATGACAAGTGGAGATTCCAGGTGTGCCAGGAGGAAAACATAGGAGTGCCAGGTGGAAACTACATGACAAGTGGAAATTACAGGTGTGCCAGCTGACATCAGAATCAGGGCATGCTATTTCGAATAGCCCTGGTATTCGCTCAATATTGAATAATCTTACTATGTGGTTGGTTCAGGATCATCCTACGCTAATGCAATGAAGGCACCCTACCCGTACCTCTCCCCCTCTATCTCCACATCGACCACTACCCTGATCCATTACCCTTTGCCACTACTCTGTGCTATCCTGCAAGCTTTGCGGGGGATAGCGGTATGACAATTTCATGATGCATTCATCATAGAACGACAGAACAACATAGGGAAGTGGAACCTAACATTGGAAGGGTTCAAATGATCAATCATCAATGGTAACGGAGAAGCATTACTCCTTGACTGTGTTAAAGTCATTCCTCTCACCAATTGGTAACCCTGGCCAAGGAAATGACTGAATATAGTTAATGATTGATGTTTCTCCGTTACCATTGACTTTCTGAACCCTTTCCAATGTTAAATTCCACTCTCCTATGTTATTCTGTTGATCTGTAGCGAACGCATCATGAAAATTGTCATAATACTGTCCCCCACTGAGCTCGTAGGATAGCACAGGGTAATGGATCGAGGTAGTGGATCAGCCGCACCTGGCTGGCAAAGAAAACATTCGGAGCAGCAGCTCCAGGCACCGTGGGACGCGTGTCTAGCTCGCCTGGTCGCCACTAAGGACCTCAATTCTCCCCAACCCATTCCTCATTACACTCTAGCCCTCAAAACAAGCTATCCCATCCCATCCAATCCCGCTCCTTCAAAGAGCGACCCAACCCACCTGGCTCGCGAAGAACACATCCAGAGCAGCAGTGTCTGGCACCGTGGGGCGCGTGTCCAGCCCGCCTGGACGCCAACTGGAGACTTTAATACCCCCTATTTCATCCCTCATAACACTCTAGCCCTGTCCCGCTCCTTCTAAGCGACCCAACCCACCTGACTCGCAAAGAACACGCCCAGGGCAGCAGTGACGGGCACGGTGGGGCGCATGTCCAACTCGCCCTGACCCAACTAGAGACCGCTTAAAACTCTCTAACCACTCACCCTACCTTCCAAAGCACCTCATCCTATCCCTAACCGTCTCCGCACCCTCCCAACCCACCTGGATGGCGAAGAACACGTCTGGAGCAGCAGAGTCTGCCACTGTGGGACGCGTGTCCAGCTCGCCTGGACCCAACTTGAGACCTCCAAGCACCCTATCCTGTCCCTCAAAACACCCTGTGACATCCCTTGGAATCATCTTATCTTTATCCTTCTCATCACACTCTTCCAGTCCAGACCCACCTGGCTGGCAAAGAACACGTCCGGGGCAGCCGAGTCCGGCATCGTGGGACGCGTGTCTAGCTCGCCTGGATGTATCTGGGGGTCTCCAAGCACCCTATCCTGTACCCAGAACGCCTTATCCCTCTCCCCCTCCCTCTTTTCACCACCCAGACGCACCTGGCTTGCAAAGAACACGTCTGGAGCAGCCGAGTCCGGCACTGTGGGACGTGTGTCTAGCTCGCCTGGTCGCCACTTGAAGAGGAATATGAGTCCGTACACGGGGCTGGAGGTTAGTTGGGAGAAGGAATGGGTGGGGAGGAGACGGATTGCCTTCAAGTTGGCTCACAAGTCACCCGGGCGCCAGTTGGAAGTTGGTGATGGGGGTTGGTGGGGGGAGAGGGGAAGAGAGGAAAGAACCTGCTGGACTAAGCAGCAGAGGGATAGAAGGGGAGCTGGGAATATGAATATTTGACTGGAGCGGCAGCTGGTGTTACGACTAATGATCGCCTGATGGCTCAAAAAGACACCTGGGGTTCCACCTGAGAATACCTGAGCTGCTTGAGGGCGTCTAGGTCCAGGCTGTAGAGCTCTCCCTCCCACCTGGTGGTTCGAAAAGACACCTGGGATTTCACCTGACAGTACCTGAGCTGCTTGAGCGCGTCTAGGTCCAGACTGTAGAGCTCCTCCACCTGAGAGAGAGTGAGGGAGTGAGTGAGAGAGTGAGGGAGTGAGTGAGGGAGTGAGGGAGGGAGAGGAAAAAGGCAGGCAAAATTCTATGAGGCATCACCATGAAGAGGCAGAGAGGAGTGGGAGGAGGGTGCGTAGGAGAGAGCGAATAGATAGTTACAATGCAAATATGTAAGTTTGCAACACAAACACCGATTGGTCAACTTTCGAGCCGCGTTGCACGCCCATACCTACACGCCCTTCACCCCATACCTGCACGCCCCTACCTGCACGCCCATACCTGCACGCCCATACCTGCACGCCCATACCTGCACGCCCATACCTGCACGCCCATACCTGCACGCCCATACCTGCACGCCCTTCACTTGCATCTGCTGCATCAGCTCCGTGAACACCCCTGGGGGGAGGAGTGGGGTCGGGAGGAGAGAGTGGGGGGGAGAGTGGGGGGAGAGTGGGGGGGAGAGTGGGGGGAGAGTGGGGAAAGCAGAAGTGCTGGCGACTCTTGCATCTGCTGCATCAGCCCCGTAAACACCCCTGCGGGGAGAGAGTGGCGCGCGGACAAAGGGGTCAGGGTTGAGAGTGGTAATTAAGTTTGCAAAAGGGGCAGGAGCAGAGGAAATACGTGAGGCCAGGCGCCGAGCCAAGCACCGAGGCAAGCACCCGAGGCAAGCACCCGAGGCAAGCACCCGAGGCAAGCACCGAGGCAAGCACCCGAGGCAAGCACCGAGGAGCATCGGGCCAGGCACTGAGTTACACTAGTGAAGGGAGCAGTGGAGGGGAAAGGGGCGAGGAGGGAAGGAAAAGATTGCCGGGCACCAAACCACGCAGGTTACCTTCCCAGCCTAACACCCAGCCAAGCATCGAGCCACGCACCGAGCCAAGGACCGAGCCAATCACCAAGCCAATTATCGAGCCAAACTACTAATCCACGCACGCACCTGGATCCGACTCGATTGTACACCACGACATGGCGGGAAACGCGCCGCGCCCACTAGCTCTCTTTCTAAATATTGGAATCCAACCCCCGTCAATGATCGGAAAGACTGTTGGTCGCGCAAGCTAAGGCGCGGCGGCAGCAGATCGCGGAGAGACGCGACGACGCGGTGATCGAACGGATGCGTGGAGCGAAGGACACGCGTTTATGAACGGCTATTTGGACGGCTGGGTGGACCCACAAGCACACTAGATTGAATCTTGCTCGTGTGGAAGGAAGGAGCCGCTAATGAAAACGCCGAAACAATATTGATATCAACAAACTGTACACCTGGGCACCAGACCAGAGAAATCTTAGATTACGCTGGAAATGTTCGCTACCATAGATTAAGATTGCCTCTTTAAAGCAAAGAAAACACAATATACGGTACTCAACAATGAACTACGACAGCGGGAAATCATACTAAGGGCATCTACTGAAAATAACATTCTCAAAAAGACTGCTCTAAAACAGCAGTCAAATCATTAAAATAGCAGTGCAAATTTTTCAAGCGTAAATGAATGTTTTTGTAGTGAGCACAATACTGTAGTCAACACGTGCGCCAGTTCCTCCCTGCGGCTTCCAGGAAGCGCTGCACAGCCAGAGCAGGCAGCTCACAGCCGCCCAGGTCCACACAGCCCTTCTTGGCGAGCTTCGCCGCCCCGTGGAAGTCCGACCCGCCGATCTTGAGCAGCCCGTGTGCATTGGCAAGGCGGCAGTACTCTGATGGTGGTTGGGGGGGTGGACGGGAGGTGGTAGAAAGGGGGAGGGAGGGGAGGGGGTCCTTCATTCATTTCCCTTCTTGGCGAGCTTCGCCGCCCCGTGGAAGTCCGACCCGCCAATTTTCAACAGCCCGTGTGCGTTGGCAAGGCGGCAGTACTCTGATGGTGGTGGGAGGGGTGGATGGGAGGGATGGATGGGAGGTGGTAGAGAGGAAGAGGGAGGAGAGGGGTTTATTCCCGTTCTTGGCAAGCTTCGCCGCCCCGTGGAAGTCCGACCCTCCGATCTTCAAAAGCCCGTGCGCGTTGCCAAGGCGGCAGTACTCTGATGGTGGTGGGACGGGTGGATGGTGGGAGTTGGACAGGAAGAGGGGGAGGGGAGATTAGGATTGACACGTCCTTAACATTCCAGTGGAAGCTCAGCTGGCCTGTTGAAGTCTAATCCACTGATTTCGAGCAACCCGTGTGCGTTGCCAAGGCGGCAGTACTCTGACGGTGATGGGACAGAGGTGGAGAGGAAGGGAGGAGGAGGGTCTTTTGAGAATTCTCAGAAATATTTCACAAGGGGGGAAGGGAGATCATCAGCATGCACTTCGCTTCGCAGCATCCACCTTTCCGATGCTCTAATAAAATCACTCACCTTCCTGAATGCCCTTCCCTCATTACACAATGCCCACCAGCCTATTGTGGCATCAAAGCATTCAGGAGCAGCACCCACCTACCCGCATTTCAAAACCCACCTTTCTGGATCTCCTTTCCTCGGTACCCCTCCGTGCCCACCAGGCCAGTGTTGTGTCCAACCCCACATATCACATATCTATAAAAACGTCTTCCCCTTGCCCCACCACCACCCACCTTCCTGAATTTCCTTCCCTCGGTAAACCTCCATGCCCACCAACCCACCAGCCCAGCGCCCACCGCCATTTCAAAGCACTCAGCACCAACCACTTACTTAAACGTCATTAGGAGATGTAAGGGCCCTTACAGCCCACCTTCCTGAATCTCCTTCCCTCGATACACCTCCATGCCCACCAGCCCAGCGCCATCCACCCAGGCTTTTGATGCATCAAGTGCAAACCTTAACACCACCCACCTACCCAAATTTCACCTCGAGTGAGGGCCCTAACCACCCACCTTCTTGAATCCCCTTGCCTCGATACACCTCCATGCCCACCAGCCCAGCGCCCGCCAATGCCATTCCAAAGCACTCAGCACCCACCATCATCTTGAACAGGATGAGGAAGAGTCAAGGCCCTCACCACCACACCACCACACAACCCACCTTCCTGAATCTCCTTGCCTCGGCACACCTCCATGCCCACCAGCCCAGCGCCCACCACCAACCCACCAGCACTTTTGATGCCTCAAGTCAAGTGCACCCCCCTCAGCACCACAACCCACCTTCTTGAATCTCCTTCCCTCGATACACCTCCATGCCCACCAGCCCAGCGCCCGCCACCCGCTTCAGCATCCCCCTTAGTGCGCTCTCCGGTATAGTCCACGGGTGCGCCAGCACTGCCGCCCCCCCTGCCTGGCTTATAACGCGGATGGCCTCAGAGACTGGGATCTCAGAGCCTCTGGGGCGAGAAACGGGTATGAGAAAATAGGGCAGAGGGTGACAAGACAAGGGTGTTGGATTCTCACTTACTGCTGCCTTACTCCCTCCCACGAGCCTGCCCCTAGCTTATAACGCGGCTTGTCTCTGCCTCGTATGGCCTCAGCCACTGGGATCTCGGAGCCCCTGCGGGGAGAAACGGGTGTCAAAAGGGGCAGAGGGGAAGACGGCGGTTGGCTTCTCACTTACTCCTGCCTCGCTTAGAACGCGTATGGCCTCAGCCACTGGGATCTCGGAGCCCCTGTAAGGGGAAACGGGTGTGCAACATGGGTAAGGGGTGACAGCGGGGTTGGATCCTTTATACATGCTGCCTGCGCTACTTGGCCCTCGCTAATAACGCGTATGGCCTCAGCCAGTGGGATCTTGGAGCCCCTGCGGGGAGAAACGGGTGTGGGGAAGGAAGGGGGGGGCAGAGGGGGTGGATCCTTCATGGATGCTGCCTGCACTGCGTGGCCCTGTATGGCCCTATATAAGGCCCTGTATGGCCCTATATAAGGCCCTGTATGGCCCTATATAAGGCCATGTATGGGCACTACGCGGCCTTATATAGTCCGCGCATGGCCTCAACCACTGGGATCTCGGAGCCCCTGTGGGGATTTTTTGAGACGTCTCAAAAGCCCACTTTTTACACGAGGGGGTGGATCCTTCATGGATGCTGCCTGCACTGCACTGCGTGGCCCTGTATGGCCCTATATAAGGTCCTGTATGGCACTACGCAGCCTTATATAGTCCACGCATGGTGACTTTTGAGTCGACTCAAAAGTCACCTCGGCCCTATATAAGGCCATGTATGGCCCTATATAAGGCCATGTATGGGCACTACGCGGCCTTATATAGTCCGCGCATGGCCTCAGACAGTGGGATCTCGGAGCCCCTGTGGGGAGAGATGGGTGTGGGGAAGGGGCAGATGGGAAGAGGGGCTTTGGCTTCTCACTTACTCCTTATCCCCACCCTCCCCCTCCCCTTCCTGCCTCGCTTATAACGCGGATGGCCTCAACCACTGGGATCTCGGAGCCTCTGTGGGGAGAAATGGGTGTGGGGAAGGGGCAGATGGGAATAAGGGTGTTGGCTTCTCACTTTCTGCTGCTCCCTCCCCCAACCCAACCTCCCCCCGTGCCTCGCTCGTGCCCCCCACTGCTCCCACTGCCCCCACTGCCCGCACTGCTCCCACTGCCCGCACTGCTCCCACTGCCCGCACTGCTCCCACTGCCCGCACTGCTCCCACTGCCCGCACTGCTCCCACTGCCCGCACTGCTCCCACTGCCCGCACTGCTCCCACTGCCCCCACTGCTCCCACTGCCCGCACTGCTCCCACTGCCCCCACTGCTCCCACTGCCCGCACTGCTCCCACTGCCCGCACTGCTCCCACTGCCCCCACTGCTCCCACTGCCCCCACTGCTCCCACTGCCCCCACTGCTCCCACTGCCCCCACTACACAACGGTGCTCTCAAGCACACACACGCACTCAAACACGCACCTCACATACGCCGGCCCATGGTCCCCTAGGTACATCTGAAACGCCTCCTCCATACTCACCACTGCCTGCACTACCAGCACCACTGCCCGCACTGCACCTTCCTTCTCCCAAGCACACACACACATGCACACGTTCGCACCTCACATACGCAGGCCCATGGTCCCCTATATACTTCTGAAACGCCTCCTCCATATCCCCCACCGCCCGCACTGCCACCAGCGCCCTCGCCACATGTACCCTGCCCGGTGCCGTCTTGGGATCGTCAAGTTGCTACAACGGGGAGGAATGCAAGGGGAACAGGGGAGACGCGTGCTCATGGTCCCCTCTGCTAAATGTCATTACATCATATGCGCTAATGGTCCCCTCTGCTCCCCCCCACTGCCACCAGCGCCCTCGCCACGTGCACCCTGCCTAGTGCTGTCTTGGGATCTTCCAGTTGCTGCTGGTGAGCGGAAATGAAGGGTGGGAGTTTGTGAAAGGGGGGAGGAGGGGAGGTTGGGGTGGAAGCGGGGACAATGGGAGGGGAGGGGAGGGTGGGGGGGGAGGGTGGGGTTCAAGTGCTACTGATGACCACCCCCACTGCTGGGTGGGGTGGCGTGGAAGTGGGGACAATGGGAGGGGAGGGGAGGGTGGCGGGGGAGGGTGGGGGGGGAGGGTGGCGGGGGAGGGTGGGGGGGGAGGGTGGGGGGGGAGGGTGGGGGGGGAGGGTGGGGGGGGAGGGTGGGGGGGGAGGGTGGGGTCCAAGTGCTACTTGTGACCACCCCCACTGCTGGGTGGGGTGGAAGTGGGGACAATGGGAGAATGGGGGGGTTCAAGAATCACCATCATCTTACCCCCCCCTCCCCCCCACTCTCACCTGAATCACATCCACCACAGTCACACCCACGCCCATCCCACTGCAGCCACTATACCATGTCTGCCCACCTGCCTGCCCGCCCGCCCGCCACCCGCCTGCCTGCCTGCGTGCCTGTCTAGCATACGAGCCAGCTCTCCAAAATCCACCTTCCACAATCCTCTACACCACTCACACACCTCCCACCCCTTCCCCCCGCTCACCTTAATCACATCCGCCATAGTCACACCCACGCCCAGCTGCTGCAGCCACTGCACCATGCCTGCCGCCCGCCTGTGCCGCCCCTCCCTGATCCCCTCCAACACCTCCACCAGCTTTTTAAGTCCATCTCCTGCCTTGCTCTCCCCTCCTGCCTTGCTCTCGCCTCCTGCACTCCCAACTACACCCCCTGCTCCTTCTGCTGCGCCCTCTGCTGCCCCCTCAGCACCTTCTTGGCATGCTAACTTAGCTTCTCCTCCCTCCTCTCTCACTACTCCAATCACATCGTCGCTGACTCGCTGCTTCTTCCCCTCCCCCTCACCTCCCTCCTCTCCCTCCTCCCCATCCTCTCCTTCCTCCTCCCCGTCCCTCCCCTCCTCCCTTCCACATCCGTCCCCGTTCTCGCCGCTCCGCACACTCTGCCACCTCTCTCGCATGCCCAGGGGAGGAAAGTACGCCAACACATGCACTCCTTGACCTCCCCTCCCCTCTCTCACCCCCTCCGCTTCACCTTCCCTCTTCCCTTCTCCCCCCCTCTCGATCCCTCCCCCCTCATCTCTATCTCTCTCTACCCCTCCCTCCTCTTCCTCCATTCCATCTCCTCGACTCCCGTTTGCAACAGCGCCCCCTCCTGTTATTTTGGGGGTGTGGCAGTCGTAGTAAGCACTAACCTCCACCCCAGGAATCACACACATTCCCACCTCCCGCCCTGCTGCTGTCGCCTCTGCCACCCCTGCCATGCTGTCATGGTCTGTTAGAGCGAGTATCCGCACCTAAGGGATGGGGGAGTGGAATGTGGAAGGTGGAAGGGGGAAGGTGGAAGGGGGAAGGTGGAAGGGGGAAGGTGGAAGGGGGAAGGTGGAAGGGGGAAGGTGGAAGGGGGAGGGGAAGAAAGGGAATGGAACTCTTGCTGCTGTCGCCTCTGCCACCCCTGCCATGCTGTCACGATCCGTGAGGGCGAGTATCCGCACCTGAGGAGTGGGGGAGTGGAAGGTGGAAGGGGGAAGTTGAAAGACGAAGAACTCGTGAGGAAGAGCAGAGAGGGGAAGCTGCTCCCACCACTGCTGCCATCGCCTCTGCCAACCCTGCCATGCTGTCACGCTCCGTCAGGAGAGAATGCGGAAGAGTGGGGAAAGTAGAAGGGCGAAAGGGGAAGAGGGTGTGGGGGAGAATAGGGAGGGGTAACTGCTCTTGCTGCCGGCGAGGTGACTTTTGAGTCGACTCAAAAGTCACAAAGAGGGTGTGGGGAGAATAGGGAGGGGTAACTGCTCTTGCTGCCAGCGCCTGAGCCGCTGCCGCCTCTGCCATGCTGCCATGGTCCGTCAGGGCGAGAATGCGCACCTGAGGTGTGGCATGGTGGATGGTGGATGGTGGATGGAGAAGGAAAATGAGGGGAAGCATGGTGTGGCATGGTGGCATGGTGTAGCATGGTGTGGCATGGTGGCATGGTGTGGCATGGTGGATGGTGGATGGTGGAAGGTGGATGGATAAGGAAAATGAGGGGAAGCATGGTGTGGCATGGTGGCATGGTGTAGCATGGTGTGGCATGGTGGCATGGTGTGGCATGGTGTGGCATGGTGTGGCATGGTGTGGCATGGTGTGGCATGGTGTGGCATGGTGTGGCATGGTGGCATGGTGTGGCATGGTATGGCATGGTGTGGCATGGTGTGGCATGGTATGGCATGGTGTGGCATGGTGTGGCATGGTATGGCATGGTGTGGCATGGTGTGGCATGGTGTGGCATGGTGGCATGGTGGCAGCGGGGGAATACTGCTGCCGTTGCTACTACCATATCCCCCATGATGCCATTTGCTGTGGAATTCTAGAATGAATCAGGGTTTCGGGTTTTAAAGTCTAGTTGATGCATAATGCATCAGATTTCGGGTTTAGGGAATGCATTCCTAAACAGAGTTGCGACCTCCCCAGCATGCTGCCTACCCCTAAGAATCACCTACTCCTCGGCTGGCCCCTCTGAGCTGCTGGCGAAACGACCGGTCCGTCGGTCTCAGGTGCAACCTTCCCCAGTGTCACCCACCCCTAGCGACGCGGCTCGTTTGACGACCTGGGCTGGGGAGAGCGACCCGTCGCTGCACGTGCTGTGGCAGTGGAACTCCACGAGGAAACTGCCCGTTTGGCTGCCCGTTTTGCTGCCCTGCCGTGCTAGATCACCACCACGCTTGCCCCCGTTGCTGCAGACGGCGGATTTCGCTAGAGAAGCAGCGACATCCGTACCCGTTTCGCTAGAGCCGGCCTTTGCGGCGTCTAGGGATTGCCGAGAAAGCTCCTCTGCGGCCTCTAGGGATTGTCGACGGAATTCCTCCAGAAAGTCGCCCGCGGCGACGTGTCTCTTTTGCGCAGCTCTTCGCTTACCCTTGTTACCCTTCGCCATACCTACTTATATTAGATTATTGTGTAACCCTCGCTGGTACAACATGGTGTGCGAAAGAACGAGATTCACGACAATTGAGGTCGGTGGTTGTTACCAAGTGGTTTCTAGCGTACTAGATTGCTCATTCCGCGATGGCTGACTGAATGAGACAAATTTGCACTAGCCTTGCAAAAACCAATCGAGTATTTCGTGATTCGTTATAAGTTACCTTCTTATTCGAGGTTCCAAAAGAGTTTCTGAGGTTTCAGGCACTCTACTGTAGCAAAAATAATTGCGCGGGGTCTTTGCCGTCAAACACGGCGCCGAACCGCCCTAGCACTGGAGAAACGTGTGATGGTGTGCAAATCGTGCGCTATCCCTCCACAAGAGATCGTGCCATCTCATTCGCCAAATCTCTACTGTTACAGAGTGTCGGCAGGTTTCTGTCGCATCGTACACCACCTAGGCAATCTCCTTCGCCTTTCGTCGCCATCCAGCGCTCCAAAGCAGCTTGTCAATTTCGCAAACCAGAGTTGCTCAACCAAGTATCGCTGTTATGCTTGGTTTCGAGAGTTCGCTCATCTTCGCGTTTTATCAGCTTATATGGAACCTCAGAATCAGCCCCGTTCCATACCTTGTTGTAAAACACAGCTACAAGTCTCCCTTCACAAATCACGAGCCCTCATCTCCACAACTTGGTTTCCTGGTCGTGCCATGCAGTGTTTTCTCCTCGCCGTTTACCACAGCATCAGCGCGCTCACCGAACTAATAGAAACATAGGCCTGACGCTCCCGATAGCGCAACCACTCAACAACAGCCTCGGCTCACTCTACTAAAATCGTGACAGGAAGCTTCGGTAATACATTTCCTCTTCCTTTATTACCAAGGACTCCGGCACAGTAACGACCTTTTTCCTGATCTGTCTTGTTAGATTTCAACATTCTTTATAACGCGCTGTATTCTGCTGATTCGTCGCCCACGGTAAATACATACGTCAGTTTCTCCGTATTCTTGCTCTAACACCCCCGTCAGGAGATGGCGATTTTCGTGTACCCCGTCGCAGCGGACAAATCCACCAGAATCCTCAGACTTGTCGCGCTGACATTGTTTATCGTTGTAGACGTCGCATTCCTCATCCTCCTCATCGTGTATTGCTGTCGCATTCGCAAAGTGGAGGCAGTCCCCGTCGCCGCGCCTGCGGACGTCGAATCGCAAAAACCTCCGCAGCAGCCAACCAACCCGGCGGAAGCGGCAGTAGCAGACGATGCGGCGAAAGTACCTGCCTAGGCTGACGCAGACAAAGAATCCAGTCAACGACATTGTACAGTACGGACGATGCTTGTGATACTTGTACGGATGTGGCAGTGGGGTTGGGGAGAAACCAGTACGGGGACCACAACATATACCTCAGGAATAGCAACTGGCACATTTTGGTGCTCTAGAAGTAATATGTTTCCGTGCCAGAAACGTGGGACGCAGCATTCATGCGTCTCATGCGGAGTGTTAAACAGGAAAAACGAAAGTGTCTGCTGCCTAGCTTTGTGTTTTTGCGCTATAATAGTATATTAAACTCATGATTCTGAACCTTGGTACGCACCTAAGATGGAGCATTGCTTCATGTAACCGTAATCTAAACGTAATCATCCCTTGCGTAGCCGAAATGATTGTCAATAGTATTCCTCTGGTTTCGGCAACCCCTTGCGTAGCCGAAATGATCCCGACGAGACGCTGGCCGTCAAACCGGCAACGCCGAACCGAGTCGCCCAGTAAGTTCGCTACGATTCCCACCGCAAGCTGCGCAAGAAGCTGGTTCTCGACAATTACAAGTCCTCGTACAAAAAGCTCCTCTCGTTTCCAGTTTATCCTCCCACCACCTTCAGAATCTGCCACTCGCCAGAGAATTGGACGAAATTCTTCTGCAGACCACCGGCACAGCCCAGTTCCATTGCAATCCCTCATGAACGGTTTATTGTATTATTTTTCCTCTGTTTCTGTCGCCTGATAAGATCCAGTAACACAGCCCGTATGATCGTGTCCAAGGGAAAGGCCATTGCTCGTTCTCATCGGCAAGAATCTGCCTAATAGTTCCTCACCAGCCACACCCGATAGATGAGCGCTCACATACAACTACCAGAAAGTAATAGACCAATCAGAAACAACTTTTGTATACTTGCATCACAAGTAAGAGTAACCAGTACTGATACTCAAGGAGATTTTGGAACGGCAACGGAGAATCAAGCGTCGTGTTGATGGTGAGCTTCGGATGACACATCGCCGCTTCCTCCTTGTCTCATATATTCGTTCTGGACCATCACAACATGGAAGCAATACAGAGTTACGAAAAAAATACTATGCATTCTGGGTCCACATCGGCGTCCTATTTTGTTTGATGTCCATCTCAAATATGGCTCTCTTTGCGTCTTGTGATTACCGATGCTACTTCTTATACTTCCATTGCTTTCCGCAGCTATGAGGACTTTCGCGCGCCCCCCAGTGGCAACTTTCAGCGTCTTTCGCATAGTTGTGCTAGCACTTGCGCTCGTAGCGCTTGTCGGAATCCTCGTCTACATGTGTTACGCTTATTGCGACTGCTGTCGCAGTCGCGCAATAAAAGTCGTCGATGTTTCGCCTGCGGACGTCGAATCTCAGAAGCCACCGCAGCCAACCAAAGTGGCTGAAGACGCAGCAGTCGGAGCGGCTGCAGGCGAAGAGGCGAAAGCATCGGCCTAGTACTAGGGTGAATCAGGGGAAGCAGCAGACAGCATGGGAGGCTCTTTGCAACATGCGAAGAATGGCGATGCTGATGCAGGCGGTAGACACGTTGCGAGTGAGGAGAGGCGGTTCTGCGAACCAGTTACGAATGCGCGAAGTACGGCGACTACAATTATCCCTCGCATCCCCCCACATGATCTCGATTTGGGTCTGCGGGTCGACTGACTTCCTCTTCTGCTTTTTTCTCGCTGCATCTCCTCATCCCACTCGTAGACAGTTGATTTCTCTCTCCGCGGCACATACCCTTTTCTGGGCAAAACGCATCCAAGCTCTCCTCTCCTCCGTCTGTCTGTCACTCGCCAAGATGCGCCATTGCGTTATGTTTTAGAAGACGAATATTTCAACGAGTATAGGGAACAGGTAGATTTCGACTTGCTGACTTCATTCTATGATATCAGCAACTATTTGAAGTCTATCGGAGGCAACAGCTCTATTTCCGCCGGTGACCTCTATAAGAAATATGCATAATGGCTTTCTCCTGTCATAAATAGCTGAATTCCATCGCTCTAGTAAGTACTGCATCAGCAATGCTCCTCTTTGTCATTCACCAGAACTAACCTTGAGCTCTTATTTGATCATAGCTATTTTAGCTTTGACTGGCCAAAACCTTCCCCGTTATCATCACTACTTACCAATCCATATCACAACTTTTTCCAACCTTACAACTTCAGACTGTTCACACCTTTCCTCATTGCTTTCCCAATGATTTTTTGTGTTTGTGTGTATTTCCGATTGCAGTGGAGGCTTACGAGATTCTCCGGATCGTACTCCTCGCGTTGTTCGCGCTGACCCTCCTCCTATTTATCATCGACACCACGTGGACCTGCATGCGCATGCGACAAGAGGGTGTAACCCCCACCGCGTCTGATGTAGAGTCGCAGAAACAGCCACAACAGACGAGTAACGCGGAGCACACAAACGAGGATGTACCAGGTCAGAGCACAGCCGTAACATCTTAGAACGTATCATCTCAGTATCTTCTTCGATTTCAGATTCGCTTGACGTGTTCTGTACTAGGGACAAGTGGTTCTCGTTACTTAACCCTAATGGTTTTTCATTTGAAGTCATCATGTACCACATTGTTCCCAGAACAAACCAACACTGGTACCTAAAGTGGGATTCATAAACGAGGAACAAGTGATAGACTAGCGTGTGCAAGCTTGTGCTAGCAGGATAACAAGACTGAGATTGAATGGATTATAACCAATACTATATGAGTAGTACATTCAAGGTGCAGGCATGCTGTGAGGGGGCTTTCAGCCAGAACAGTTGTGCGATGGAAGTAGGAGCAGCAGTGCAGCAATGCCAGTTGAAACCCCATTCACGGAGCCGACACATACGGCCGGCTGAAACACCATTCGCTCCATATGCTCATCCACGCCAACTCTATCTACTTCCTGCTTCAAACAGACACAAGACGGTAGTACCAGGAACAGCACTGGCAATCTCAATTGGGCACGGTGTGTGCCTTCTCCCTGCTTGCTGCTTGACCCATGCCTTGTGCTTAAACGGACGCAGTTACTAGTATGGAAGTAAGAGCAGCACTGGCGGTCCCAATCAGGAGGAGAGCCGACATAGGAGGCCAGGTGGAAGTCAGCTCGCTGCAACTGCTCGTCCACGTGCCTTCTCGCTGCTGTGTCCGTGGAGTGCGTTTAACGGACACAGTTACGCACATGGTAATATGAGCAGCACTGTCGGTCCCAGTCGGGAGGAGAGCCGACACACAAGGCCAGGTGGAAGCCAGCTCGCTGCAGCTGCTCGTCCACGTGCCTTCTAGCTGCTGTGGCTGCCTCGCCCACGGGGAACGACACGAGCAGCTGACACACTGCTGAGAGCGGGCGAGGTGCGAGCGATGGTAGGCGGTGCGGTGATGGTGATGGTGATGGTGGTGGTGGTGGTGGTGGTGATGGTGATGATGGTGGTGACGGCGTGTTCCCTGAAGACAATGCATCGTGCATGGCAGAAGCCCAGGCTGCAATAAGAGCCGGGTCTAGATCGTCCACATCCACCTGCAGGGGAGCAAGCAGGCAATTGAGAGAGGCATGACAGGGTGCGTATCAACGTTCGTCGCCCCACAATGGATGGCATGGCATGGCTGTAGCATGGCTGTAGCATGGCTGTAGCCCAGGTTGCAATCACAGCAGGGTCCAAATGGTCCACATCCACCTGTGGGTGGGAAGAGCCAGTTATGGGGCAACACAGACGCGTGGGAGTATGTATGGCAGTAGCAGACGCACACGCACACATGCGCGCTCACGAACACGCACACATGCGCGCATACGCACGCACACGCACACGCACGCACACGCACGCACACGCACACGCACACACGCACGCACACACACATATGCACACGCACACATGCACGCAAGCACGCACACACGCACGCACACACACATATGCACACGCACACATGCACGCAAGCACGCACACACGCACGCAAGCACGCACATGCACACGCACGGGACTTATGACATATCTCAGAACATGCACGCACATAGCAGAAACATGCATGAAAGCACCACACGCACGTGAAAGCACAACACACACACACCTTGATCACATCCACACGCCACAGCAGCCCATCATCAGCCTCGCGCTTGTATTCTTCCTCCCTCGCCACCTCCCCACGTTGAAATCCTTCCCCACCCTGATCCTCCTGGCTCCCCCTCTCCCGCTCCCCACCACCCGTGCTGTCGGATTGCTGCCATTGCTGCAACCAGGAGGGAGGGCGATGGAGGATGGAGATGGCGGGGAAGAGAGAGAGAAGGTCCGCCTCCCAGCTGCCCCCTGTCTCTGCTGCCTTCTGCCCGTTCAATTCAGAATTCCCGAAAGGGGAAGGGCTCTCTGCTGCTTTCTGGCTGTCCTCCCCCTCCCGCCTGGCCACTCCTTCGCTTCGGAGAAGCGAGACAGGGGATGACCTGAACGGGTTTCCAGTGCTACTTGGTGCCTTTTGAGTCGACTGAAAAGTCAAAGTCATGTCACTCAGGAGAGGCAGAATCGGTAACTCGACAGACTGGTTACTTGTGCTGCTGGGGTTGCTACCATGAGGGGCAGCAGAGTCACCACCACGGCCGTTGATTATCCCAGGTAGATCATCACCATCACCGTCGATTTCATGTCCTCTACTCTTCTCAATCTCACTCCCTTTCTCACTGAGCAATCGTCTAAGACCCCGTCTCTTTCTGCTGCCGCTTCTGCTCCTCCCTCCTCTTTCTCGCTCTCTCTCTCTCCTTCTCAATCTGTCGCTTGAGTTGCTGCCCCTGCCACTGCTTCTCCTCCTCCTGCCCTTGTTCCTCCTATCCCTGCTCCTCTTGCTGCTTACCCACCACTTGCCACTGCTGCTCTCCCTGTCACTCCTGCTACTGCTGCTACCGCTCCTGCTAGTGCTGTTACTACTTCTGCTGTTGCTGCTACTGCTGCTGTCGCTGCTACTGCTGTCACTTCTTGTGTCGCTGTTGCTGCTGCCGCTACTTGTGCTCGATTCACTGCTGCCACTATGCGTTGGCATCCCTGTGCTTCTCGCCCCTTCTCTGCTGTATGCTGTCGCTGTGGCACTGGTAGCCGCCACCCACTCCGGGCGAGAGGAGATGGACACGACGACACTGCTCAGATGCCACAGGGGATACACGCCAGAAGAAATGCACACAGAAGGGTGAGGTCAACTATAGAAATTCACCGGTTGCAGGGGCCGTGGCGTTGGCGGCCGCCTCGCTTCCCACTCCGGGTGAGAGGAGATGGACACCACAACGCTGCTCAGATGGCATGGCACATGGGGTACATGGCATGAGAAATGCACACAGCAGGGTTAGGTCAACTATAAAAAACATCGGTTGCAGGGGCCTTGGCGGTGGCGGCCGCCTCGCTTCCCACTCCGGGCGAGAGGAGATGGAGACGACGGCACTGCTCGGATGGCACAGGGGATGAACACGGCAGAAGGAATATGCGCAGGGCGTTTCTGAGATTTGTTATGAACACCAATTGCTGTGGCACAGAAGAAACATGCGCAGGGCGTTTCTGAGATTTTTATGAACACCCATTGCTGTGGCGTTGGTGACTGCGTTGCATTCTGGGCGAGAGGAGACGGAGACCACAACACTGCTCAAAGGCCATGCGAGATACATCTTAGTAGGCGACTTTTGAGTCGACTCAAAAGTCAACACTGCTCAAATCAAAGGCCATGCGAGATACATCTTAGTAGGCTTTCTGCGGTTCGAAACCAACTGATTTCAACAGATACAATATACATCTTTTACATCATAAGACATACTTGTAAGACGCATAACAAATGAGTGCCAGAATCTCGTGAGAATCCTATCAACGTAAAGAGTGTGGGGAGAAAGACGACTTTTGAAGCATTTCAAAAGTCGGTGCGAGGTTACACTTGAGTATCAGGATCTCTCCCCTCTCTGATATCCACCTGAACCACCTGCCCGGAAAAACACCTATACCAGCACACCTGAAAAAAATACCTGAGCCACACACCTGAGACAACACCTGAGCCACCCACAAAAAAAACATCTGAGCCAGCACACCTGAAAAAACACCTGAGACAGCAGCACACCTGGAGGCAGAGAGCAGGCGAGTGAAAGTGGCAAATTGTCGTGGGGTGCTTCCCAGAAGCTTCGCCTCTCCCAGCTGCCCCCGCACACAGAGAGCCAAGGGGGAGGGGGCGGACCACACAGAGGAGAGGGCGCGGAGCTGGGGGGGGGAGGGGAAATGGGGAGGGGGAGGGGGAGGGGGAGGGGGTTGTGGGAAAAAATGGCAGGGGAGCGGGAGGTGGGGAATGTCCAGCGATCAAATTAAAGCCTCTTACACACAGTGGCACGGGGGAGGGCGTGGACCGCACAGAGGAGAGGGCGCAGAGCTGGGGGGGGGGAATGGGGGGAAGGGGAATAGGGGGAAGGGGAGCATGTGATGCAACCAATGCCCCTCACACAGAGAAAAGGCGGAAGGTACATCACAGAGAAATAAGCCGTTCCAGCCGTTCCAGCCGTTCCAGCCGTTCCAGCCGTTTCAGTACCCTCTGGTTCGAAAAGATACCAGAAAAGGAATTTAGTATAACAGTGAGGCATTTAGCAGATTACCCTCGCCTCGTACCCGCTCAAAAGATCGCACGCAGAGAGCCACGTCAGCAGCCATGCGGGTGACAGCTTGGCGCTGCCGTGCCAGCTCAGCGCCCATGACAGCGTCGTACTGCTGCTGCCACGTGTCCTCCCACGGTTGGTGGATGGAGCACATGTCAATCCCCTGAGTGAACGGCCCTGGCCAGTTGGGAGCCGTGTCGGGGATGGCAGCTAGTGCCTGTTCAGCCTGGCAAGTGGAATCGAGTTTGGGTGGATGGAGAGTCGTGAAGGAAAGGAGGGACAGTTGAGTGAATGGCCCTGGCCAGTTGGTGGCCGTGTCGGGAATGGCCTCTAGCGCCTGTTCAGCCTCCCTGGTGGGAGGATGGAGGTTGTGGAACGGAGGTTAGGGGGATGGAGAGAGTAGAGCGGTGGGCGAAAAGAAGCTAGAATAAAATATCAATGCCAGTTGGGCCTTTGAGCAATGAGCAATGAGCAACCGGCCCTGGCCAGTTGGGGCCTTTGAGCAGTGGGTGAATGACGGCAGCTAGCGCGCCTAAGGGGTGAATGATTCAGGGAGGTTGGGGTGAGGGGTGGAGAGTGGGTGGGTGGAGAGTGGGTGGGCGAAAAGAAGCTGAGAGCAGATGTCAGTGCTTCGAGTGAATGGGCCCAAACGATTCGCGGCTGTGTCGAGGATTGCGACTCAAGTCTTTCAGTGTGCTGGAGTATCCGTCTCCTGTTCCTCTCCCTTTTGTAAGTAAAGTGTTGAGGCGCCTCAAAGCTCAACTCAATGCACCTGGAGTATCCGTCTCCTGTTCCTCTCCCTTTTATAAGTAGAGTTTTGAGGCGCCTCAAAGCTCAACTCAATGCACCTGGAGTATCCGTCTCCTGTTCCTCTCCCTTTTATAAGTAGTCACCATCCCCCCTTTCCTCCCCGTTCAGAGGCTCCTTGGCACCACAGGCAATCAAACGTAGTCCCATGTTTTTCCCCTTCTCCACTCACCTCCTCCCCGGCCTTGGCGCTGTTCAGAGGCACCTTGGCAGCAATACAAGCAATCACATAACCAAGCAAAGCACCCCATCTTCAACCGCTTGCTTCCCCTTTCTCTCCTCGCCTCTCTCCTCCCACCTGCCTTTCAACTCACCTCCTCCTCTGCCTTGCACGGGGTGCACAATCGGCACTTGGCGCCGTTCAGAGGCACCTTGGCAGCAGCACTCAGGATTTTCACGGGACACGAGTCGTCCTCTAAGGGGTACATTCGGCGAGTGAGGATGCAGAAGGAGAGGTTCTGTCGATCCACTCTCACTCCCCCCATGTCCATCTGGGCTTTAGATGCCATCTCTGAGTTGAGCTGGCTGGGGAAAGGGGGAGGGATGAGACATCAAAGAAGGGGAAGGGGAGGGGGAAGGGGCGCGGCAAGGGGGCAGGGGGAAGGGAAAAAAAGGGGGTTCTGTCGATCCACTCTCACGCCCCCCATGTCCATCTGGGCTTTAAATGCCATCTCTGAGTTGAGCTGGCTGGGGAAAGGGGGAGGGATGAGACATCAAAGAAGGGGAAGGGGAGGGGGAAGGGGGGCGGCAAGGGGGCAGGGGGAAGGGAAAAAAAGGGGGTTCTGTCGATCCACTCTCACGCCCCCCATGTTCATCTGGGCTTTAAATGCCATCTCTGAATTGAGCTGGCTGGGGGCAGGGTGAGGGGGGATGGGACAGGAAAGGAGGGGTAACGGGCAGAAAAGAAAGGAGAAGAAACGAGTGGGAAGGGCGAGTGAGGATGCAGAAAAAGGGGTTCTGGCGCTGCACTCTCATGCCCCTCGTGCCAATCTGCACTCTCACGCCCCTCGTGCCAATCTGCACTCTCACGCCCCTCGTGCCAATCTGCGCCTTAGACCCTTGCTCTGAGTTGACTTGGCTGGGACAGGACAGGGGCAGAGGGAACGGAGCAGGGAAGGGGAGGGGGAGCAGGGACGGGACAGGGAAGGGGAGGGGGAGGAGAAGGGTGAGAGGATGAAGAAAAGGAAAGAGGCGGAGGGTTCCGGCGCTGCACTCTCACTCCCCTCATGTGTATCCGCGCCTTGAAGGCCTGCTCTGAGTTGAGGTGGCTGGGGGGAGGGGAGGGGAGGGGGCAAGGAAGTGGAGGGGAAGGGAACAATGGCCAGGGAAGAGGAGGCTGATTCTGGTGCTGCGTCTCACCTGTACCCAGCAACCAACCACCATCTCATCTCATCCAGCGCACTCAGCCTCTTCAACCCTGCTGCAACCAACCAACCCTGCTGCAACCAACCAACCCTGCTGCAACCAACCAACCCTGCTGCAACCAACCAACCCTGCTGCAACCAACCAACCCTGCTGCAACCAACCAACCCTGCTGCAACCAACCAACCCTGCTGCAACCAACCAACCCTGCTGCAGCCTGCATTGCACTGCACCCACCACCATAGCATCACGCACTCACGGTATTGCCAAAAGTACCACCACCACCACACCATCACCACTGCAGCCTCTCATCTGTACTCAGCAACCAACCACCATCTCGTCCATCCAAACCACGCAGCCTTTTCAACGCTGCTGCAGCCACCCACCATAGCATCGTCAACAGTATCACCACCGCACCACCAAGCTGCTGCAACCACGATTACATCACCATCACATCACCATCACCACCACCATCATCACCACCACCCTCCCCTCTCACCTGTATCCAACGGCCACCATCTTATCCAGAGCACTCAGCCGTCTCAACGCCACACCACTCGCCTCCCGCCCTCCCATCCCGAACCTGTCGTTCAACCCCCACCAGTCCGACCCATATGGAATCGTGTAGGCCAAGTTATCACCCACCCCACTCGCACCATCTATGTCCCCAGCAGCCACTGCCGCTGCTTCTGCTGCTAGTGCCGCTGCTTCTGCCGCTTCTTCTGCTGCTGCTGGTCCAGCAGCGGGAAAACCGAGCGGCATGGGCGGCGGGGGCTGAATGTTTGCGGGGGCGGTCCAGAGGGAGTCGAGGCGGGCTCGCACGATCCAGTTGTAGCGCAGGGGCGGTGCTGACGTGGCTTGTGCTGACATGGCTTCAAACGATTGGATCATGTCCCAGCACCCCTCCACCAGGCGAAAGTACTGTAGCAGGCCCTGCAGGGTGGGTGGGAGGGAGGGGGAGATGAAAGGACAGGTGCAAGGCACATGGAGAATCCATTTTTTGAGTCGACTCAAAGCTTGTCTCAAAACTCGTCCCAGCACCCCTCCACCAGGCGAAAGTACTGTAACAGACCCTGCAGGGTGGGTGGGAGGGGGAGATCCGTTTTTGAGGCGCAATGAGAAGCCAAACGCGGGAAATGAAACGAAACGGACGGAGAGAGGGCGGGAGGCCGAAACAGGGCGGGAAGAGCGAGACGGGCGAAACAGGGCAAAAAATCAGGTGGATGTGAAAGGCAATCTGGAAGGCGCTACTTAGCCACTGAAAGGGAGGAACTCTTTCAATCCCGAATTTAAACACGCACCGGCAAGCCTTGGCCCAATGCGACAACTTCCAACCAAATTGACCTCCTAGAGGCCTCGACGGCCTTTCTTAGTGCCTCAAAAGTTTCAGAAGCAGAACCAGCGCCTCTCCTCTCACCTGCAAGCCTTGAGGTGAAGACTGCCAGTTGAGCGCTAACCTCCGGTTGTCTGTCTCATCCAAATCACTGCTCGCAAAGATCCTCACGCTCGCTATAGTCACACCCTCCACTCCCAGCTCCCTCGAACCGAACCCTCCCCCCTTGATTCCCCCGAATAAGGCGAGTTTAGCAGCGGTTTCGTCTAATGGCGCGTGCAGGAAGAGGTGTAAGGGGCGGTGGGAGGGGTGGGAGAGGTGTGAGGAGCGGTGTGAGTGGTGGGAGCGACCGGAGGAGTGGGAGGAGGGGTGGGCGGAGGGCAGCAGCAGGTGGCGCAGCAGTGAAGGCCCCGTTGCCTCAAAGGCCCGCGCTGACCCCACCAGACACACTGCTATGGGCGGCTGGGGGGGGGAGGCAGCAGGAGGCAAGGAGCAGGGGGCAAGGAGCAGGGGGCAGGGAAGAGTGCAGAGAGAAAAACGCAGAAGAGGGAGTGAAAGAGCTCTTTGATTGGTCTCAAAGGCACGCAGCGACCCCACCAGACACACTGCGATGGGCGGCTGGGGGCAGGGCAGGTAGCAATGGGAAATGCAAGCAGGATGGAGAAGGGAGGGACAGGGAGGGGGTAGGGGTACGAGGGGGGTAATAGGATTAGTTAAATAGCCTCAAAGGCCTGGATGGGGGGCTGGGGGCAGGGGGGAGGGGACAGGGGGAAGGAAAAAAGAGCGCTCTGGGACTGGTAGCGGTTCACTGTCACATAAAGCACTAGTGGCTTTATGAGCCGCCGGGAAAGTATTTACCTCCAAAGTGTCCTGATTCGTTGCATTCAAGGCCGAGAATGAGACAAGCAGCGGCACCAGCGCCGCCGCGCAGGCTGCAAGCAGGCACACGGACCGCAATCCCGAGCGCGGCTGCAGCCAATAGGAACCAACAACGGCGCGATCACGCGACTTGGGAAGGCGAAACGGGGAGGGAGCCATGAATTGAGGCTACAAGTCAGACGGGATTCGTTCCTTCCGTCACCCTGTGCGTCTTGACGTTTGAGTCGACTCTTAAAGGGGTGACGGGGTGACGAAGCGCGTGGTCCAGGCTCGAAATCCACGCCGCAATTGAGGCGAGGCGCAAGCCCAGGTGTGACGCGACGCGACTGTCGAGTCGACTCAAAAGTTAGGGTTTGCAAGCACAAGGCAATATCTGACGCGAATTTCTAGGGGGTGAAACGAAACACGCATGAGCGAACGGTTTGCTCACGGCCCTGGCAAAGAAACGGCCCGACGTGATCATCTCCCGTCAAAACCGTGGATCCAGATTCGCGTTGCGAACGTTCAAGCCGAACATTGACACGAGCGCGGGCGGGGTGACGCAAAATAACACGCTCGGGGTGCACGGAGACGCTCCATGGGAAACCGACCAGGATTAGCTTTACCACTAGCCATTACTAGACTTGTTCTTTGCCAGCCTGTCGATACTACCGAGACACCGACCAGAATTGAATGGGCTGCTCCAATCCCGATGGCAATGACGAACAGTTGCTGCGAACAATTGAGTTATAGGTTACAATGTTCCGTGTTACGGTTCATTGATCGCATCGCAATCACCCTCGCACTAGGATTACATCAGCTGATGGACGGCTGATGTATCAAACCAGACTTGGCGGGAAACCAAAATATGTTGCCATACGAAAATTCGACACTACTCGTTGTCAGACCAGCAAAATTCCACTTCGGACCAATCAGGGTTGCATAATGTCAGCGCCGGACCAATCGAGCTCATGCATGAAGTTGCAGGGGCGGACGTCAATCACCCACTCGAATCGTAGGGAGTGTCGTTGAAACCCAATTTGCCCGTGGCGACATTCGCCATAACCACAACCGGCCAGCGCTGATCCCTAGGTGCAAATGATCGGCTGATTAGTAAATCTGGACTTCGCGATAAGTAGTGTAAGCTGTCGCCAAGCCGATCGGCACTCGTTGTCAGACGAATAAATGTCCCTCTTCGGACCAATCAAGGTTACACTCTGTCAGCACCGGACCAATCGAAATCATGCAGAGATTGCGGAAGGGTACGTCAAGTAATCACCCAATCCTATCGTAGGAAGTGTTGTCGAACGAAACCCAATTATGCCCGTGGCGACGTTCCCCATAATTCCCAGGTGCAACTGATGCTCTCCACTCTTGGGCTGGAACGGTCTTGATCGATCAGACGAGCCGAAAAAAACCGGAAACAGCAGACTACTATAGTAGTGCAGAGCAGATACCAGGATGCGGAATCGGTGGTTTTGTTTGTTTACTTGGGCTGTGATTCCTGGCTGCAGTGCGGCCTGGCCTGTTCCGCGTAGATTCCGAGGGCGTTTTCGTCTGCCATCGCTCGTGCCGCGACTTCGGGGACGATAAATTAGATCGTCTGTTAGGGCGTTATCGACGCCAGGATCTTGCGAAAGAAGCCAAAAGTTGACAGTGAGAGGGCCGGTCCGAGAGTCTGTCTCGCTTTTTCTGACAGTGAGAGATTGCGCGACGAATCGCCTTACTGACGAACCGCCCTACTGATCGCTGGACCACGTTCGCCGAGGCTGTTGGTCGTTCTGATTGTGACTGAAACGAGTAGCCGCGTCTGATAGTCACACCCAGCGAGTGTCACGCGTCGAGTTTCTGTCAGAATTTTCCCGTTAGCTCACTCACCTCCCTTCAATTGGTCTACTACGATTTAACTCACTCCTCACCCGCCACCATAGGCTACTTTTGGAGGGCGCTTCGCCTAGTTCGGGCGGTCTTTATTCGCCCGAAGGCGGGACTAGCAGGCGGCGGCGCGATGGTGCTTTCAAGAGCGAGGACTTTCGTTATAGTCTTCGCCGTGCTGACGGCAGCGTTCTCGGCGGTGCACTGGCCGCTCAGACGCTCGTGGCGCGACAACCTCGTGGCGCCTAAAGGAGGAGGGGATGATGATGTGAGTGAGTGAGTGAGGGAGTGAGGGAGGGAGTGAGGGCGAGAGTGAGTGAGGGAGGGATTGAGGGCGTTAGTGAATGAACGAGAGAGTGAGTGAGTGAACTTGGGTGAACTTCGAGGACTCAAATATAGTCAGCTCAAAACTTGAAGTCTTAATTCAGTCAGCTCAAAGCTACTCACATTCAGTCAGCTCAAAGCTAGAAGTCTCATATTCAGTCAGCTCAAAGCTAGAAGTCTCAATTTCAGTCAGCTCAAAGCGAGAAGTCTCAATTTCAGTCAGCTGTAAGCTAGAGGTCTTGATTTCAGTCAGCTCAAAGCTACAAGTCTCAATTTCAGTCAGCTCAAAACTAGAGGTCGCAAATCCAGTCAGCTCAAAGTCAGTCTCAGATTTAGTTGGCTAAAATCCAGGCATCCCAAGGTGTCACAAATTTCTTTCCGCCTCGCCTCCTCCTCACCATCATGTGAGGTGTGATCGCTACATGCCCTCCGAACCACCCCATGAACACGTTCTCAAACTCCACAGACCCTCCCAACCCGCCGCTTCCCCCTCTTTCCTTCCCCCGTTATTTTCCCAATGCGCTTCTCCCCTTCCGCCATCTTCCCACCTCGCTTCATATGGCCGTGTGTCTGGTGGGGCCACCACGGGCCATTGAGGCGACTCAACCAACTGTTTCACTCCCCCCTATGTGTCTTTCCCAATGCTCTCCTTTCTGCCCTGCCCCCTGCTCCCTGCCCCCTGCTGCCCCCTGCTCCCAGCCGCCCATAGCAGTGTGTCTGGTGGGGTCGGCGCGGGCCTTTGAGGCAACGGGGCCCTCGCTGCTGCGCCACCTGCTGCTGCCCTCCGCGCACCCCTCTCCCTCTCTCTCCCACCGCCCCTTACACCTCTTCCTGCACGCGCCTCTGGACGAAACCGCTGCCAAGCTCAGCTTCCTCCGAAGCTTCGCCAGCAGCAGCAGCAGTACCAGTGGAAATGTTGGACAAAATCGGATCGCGGGGAGTGATGACGTGGTGGGTCAGGATTGGGTGCGTTTGGCCCGGGAGAGCGCCATTGCAGCTGTGCAGATATTCCCAAACACTGACGTGGATGAGACAAAATACCCCACTGGGGTCATGTTCACTGGTGACTCCCCCAGTGGCCTACAGGGTCTGCTACAGTACTTTCGCCTGGTGGAGGGGTGCTGGGACATGATCCAATCGTTTGAAGCCACGTCAGCACAAGCCACGTCAGCACCGCCCCTGCGCTACAACTGGATCGTGCGAGCCCGCCTCGACTCCCTCTGGACCGCCCCCGCGTCCATCCAACCCCCGCCGCCCATCCTGCCGCCCAGCGTTCCCCCTATAGCCACCACCGCCGCTGCACCAGCAGCAGCAGCTATTCTTAATGGCATTGGTTTGGGTGATGGGGTGGGTGATGGGTTGGTCTACACAATTCCGTATGGGTGGGACTGGTGGGGGCTGAACGACCGGTTTGGGATGGGAGGGAGGCAGGCGAGTGAAGCAGCGCTGAAGAGACTTAGTGCCCTGCAGCTGCTGGCAAGGCGGAAGATGCGGTGAGTGAATGGGTGTGAATGGGTGTGAAGGGGTGCGAATGTTGCTCTGCTTCGCCCTCCCCGCTCTGCTTCGCCCTCCCCTGCTCTGCCTCTCCCTCCCACCATCCTCTCCCCGTCCCAGAGACCTCAACTCAGAGAGACCCTTAAAAGCCCAGCTAGCCCTGGGGAGCATCAGGCTGCAACGAGCCAACATGGCCTTCTGTGTGCTCACCTACCCTCCTCCCATGCCCGACCTCCCATCCTCCTCTTGCTCTTCCTCCCAGGAACCTCAACTCTGAAGGAGCCTTTAAAGCCCAGCTATCTCTGGCGGGCATCACAGTGCAACGAGCCAGCCTGCCCTTCTGTGTGCTCAGCCAACGCACCTACCCCGACGGCTGTGCCCCCACCGTCTACTCAATCAACTCCTCCGTGCCGCTAAATGGCGCCAAATGCCGCCCGTGCAGCCGCCCGTGTGCTACAGGCGAAAAGGTAAGAAGGGATGGGGTTTTTAAGGCACATCAACAGTTGTCACTGGTGGTTTTCGAGGATTCGCAAAATCCCTGCAAGGCGAAGGCGTCCCATCCCATGTGCCGCCACCCATGTGCCGCCACCCATGTTTTTTAGGATTCTCAAGGAACAGATCCACCCATGCGCTGCCACCCATGCGCTGCCACCCATGCGCTGCCACCCATGCGCTGCCACCCATGTGCTGCCACCCATGCGCTGCCACCCATGTGCTGCCACCCATGCGCTGCCACCCATGCGCTGCCACCCATGCGCTGCCACCCATGCGCTGCCACCCATGTGCTGCCACCCATGCGCTGCCACCCATGCGCTGCCACCCATGCGCTGCCACCCATGTGCTGCCACCCATGCGCTGCCACCCATGCGCTGCCACCCATGTGCTGCCACCCATGCGCTGCCACCCATGCGCTGCCACCCATGCGCTGCCACCCATGTGCTGCCACCCATGCGCTGCCACCCATGCGCTGCCACCCATGCGCTGCCACCCATGCGCTGCCACCCATGCGCTGCCACCCATGCGCTGCCACCCATGTGCTGCCACCCATGCGCTGCCACCCATGCGCTGCCACCCATGCGCTGCCACCCATGTGCTGCCACCCATGCGCTGCCACCCATGCGCTGCCACCCATGTGCTGCCACCCATGCGCTGCCACCCATGCGCTGCCACCCATGCGCTGCCACCCATGCGCTGCCACCCATGTGCTGCCACCCATGCGCTGCCACCCATGTGCTGCTGGGGAAAGGGTAACTAAGGAGGGATCAGGCGACTCTTGCTCTGTGCCCTGTGCCCCCGCCGTCTGCTCCCTCAACTCCTCTGTACCGCTGAATAGCGGCAAATGCCGCCCGTGCAGCCGCCCGTGTGCTTCTGGGAGCAAGGTAACTGATAAGGGGAGATTGCTGCCACTGCCGGCCATGCGACCGCCTGTGTGCTTCTGGCAAGAATTGGCCCCATTTCCCCTTCCCCCAGGCACGAGCTCACTTTTGAGTTGACTCGAAAGTCACTCAGCCCGTGCGACCGCCTGTGTGCTTCTGGGAAGAACTGGCCGTATTTCCCCATTTTCCCTTCCCCCAGGCCCGAGCTCTCGTCTCCCGCATCGCCCCTTCCGAACCTAACTGGCCGGGCCCAGCAGCGGGGGAGGGCGAGGTGGGGGTGTGTGACTCAGCCTCATTCATCTCTCCTCCCCCCCCCACCCGCCTGCCCCTTTCCTTCAGGCCCGAGCTCTCGTCTCCCGCATCGCCCCTTCCGAACCTAACTGGCCGGGCCCAGCAGCGGGGGAGGGCGAGGTGGGGGTGTGTGTCTCAGCCTCATTCATCTCTCCTCCCCCCCCCACCCGCCTGCCCCTTTCCTTCAGGCCCGAGCTCTCGTCTCCCGCATCGCCCCTTCCGAACCTAACTGGCCGGGCCCAGCAGCGGAGGAGGGCGAGGTGGGGGTGTGTGACTCAGCCTCATTCATCTCTCCTCCCCCCCCCACCCGCCTGCCCCTTTCCTTCAGGCCCGAGCTCTCGTCTCCCGCATCGCCCCTTCCGAACCTAACTGGCCGGGCCCAGCAGCGGGGGAGGGCGAGGTGGGGGTGTGTGACTCAGCCTCATTCATCTCTCCTCCCCCCACCCGCCTGCCCCTTTCCTTCAGGCCCGAGCTCTCGTCTCCCGCATTGCCCCTTCCGAACCTAATTGGCCGGGCCCAGAAGCGGGGGAGGGGGAGGTGGGGGTGTGTGATGCGGCGAGGGGGTGGGAGAAAGGGTGGGAGTCGGAGTTTGATGCGGTTATGGGGGAGGAGATGGCGGAGGGGCGGAGGCAGGTGGTGCGGGAGGCGATGGGGAGCATTGACGAGTGTGTGCTGGCGTGGGATGAGGTGAGTGGGAGTAGGCTAGAATGAGAAGAGGCGAGAGTGGGAGGTGGGGTGGGATTGGGAGAAGGGGTGGGAGGGGGAGTTTGATGCAGTGATAGGAGGGGAGATGGCGGAGGGGCGGGGCAGGTTGTGTGGGAGGCAATGGGGAGCATTGACGAGTGTGTGAAGGCGTGGAAACAGGTGAGAGTGGGGGAGGTGAGTTTTCTAGACATCTCAAAATATACAATGGGGAGCACTGACGAGTGTGTGACTGCGTGGGAGGAGGTGAGTGTGTGTGCGAGCTCAGGTCCTTGTGTCTCACACCGCGTTTCCAATCCCCCAACCCCTCTCCTCCCCCTCTCTTCCAGTTCCGCACCCTCACCGTATCCTCGGATGTACCATCACCCAGAGCCGTCTGTGTGCATCCCAGTGATGGTCCATCCCAAGTTGACTTTTGAGTCGACTCAAAAGTCAACCCTCACCGTATCCTGGGATGGACCATCTCCTGGGATGTATCCTGGGTTCCATCACCCGGAGCCGTCTGTGTGCATCCCAGTGATGCTCCATCCCATCCGGCTCCGCTCCTTTCCTATCCCTCAGTTGCACACCTGCACTATCTCCTAGTATGCACCCATCACCCCATCCGTCCCACCTTCCCAGCTCAGTTGCGCACCCACAGTCTGTCTGCGAGCTCAACTGGATGGGAGGGAAGGTGGGAAGAGGAGATTGAGCTCAATCTCCGCTTCCCACCTTCCCACCTTCCCTCCCATCCTTCCTCTTCCCACGTCACCTTTCCAGTTCCGCGCCCTCACAGTATCATGGGATGCGCCATCACCCCGAGCGGTGTGCGTGCGAGCTCATGTCGGCTTCCCACCTCCCCTCAATCTACTCGACCGTTTCCATCCAGTTCCGTCCCCTCATTGCACCCTGGGATGCACCGCCATCATCCCGAGCCGTCTGTGTGCGGGTGCTTTGTGTCTCACGCCCACTTCTCATTCCCCCAACCCTCCTCCTTTCCACCCCCCTCCTTTTCACCCCCCCAGTTCCGCACCCTCACAGTCTCCTGGGATGCGCCGTCACCCCGGGCGGTGTGTGTGCGAGCTCGCATGGGAGGCAGCGCGTGGGTGGGGGGAGGGCCAAGGGCAGACGGAAGATTTTCCACCTTTCTCTCCCTGCTTACTGCCTCGAGGTATTTATATTGCTCATCCCCTTCCTCTTCCTTCGATGCCAATGTCGTCTGTATAGCACCCTACACCTTCCCCTGTTGGTCAACTTGCAGTCATAAACATTGCATCATTATGGGTTCTGCCAAGTGCTACCGTAATCGGTACAGCGGTGATGTTTCAAACGTTCCTGCCTGCATTTCTCTTTTGTTCCTCCGTGTGGGCGGTGATTGCACTTCTCTTCTTATCTCTTTCCGCGAACAGCCAGGTGGTGGTTGAGGTGGAGGGCAGTCAAGACAGCAATCCGCTTCTTACAAACCAGTTGTCACAAGAGGGGGGTGACGGGAGTAGCAGCGGTGGAGTGGAGAGGAGGTTGCTGGATGATACCAAGGCTCATGGTGCTGCTGTAGCATCTGACACTGTAGCATCTGACACTGTAGCATCTGACACTGTAGCATCTGACACTGTAGCATCTGACACTGTAACACCTGACACTGTAACATCTGACACTGTAACACGTGGGACTGTAACACGTGGGACTGTAACACCTGAGACTGTAACACCTGGGACTGTAACACCTGGGACTGTAACACCTGGGACTGTAACACCTGGGACTGTAACACCTGGTACTGTAGCAGCTGTTGCTGCTGTATCACCTGGCGGTAACATTGTAGCACCAGTTGTGGATGCAAAAGTGTTTAGTGCATGGAAAGAGGAACTGTGCCGTCGGGTCAAAGGCATCTCCATCTCGCACCGTCCGCTCGCATGGCTGCACATTGAAGAACAGAAGAACGACCCTCCAGTCGATGTTCTCCTTGTGAGTGATGCTTTGCTTTCCTTCTGACTCGGCGCTCAAGAATCCCTTTTAATCTGCTATGACCCCATCACTGCACCATCTCTGGGTATTGAGAATTCTCAATGACCAGAAGTTTCCTTATCTCCATGCCTGTTTGCTTCCCTCCCCCACAGTCCCATTGTTTTCTTAGAGAAGGGGATAGGGAAAGAAACAGTGGGGGAGAGAAGCAAACAGGCAGGGAGATAAGACACGGTTCCCATCCAACCTCACTTCTCCTCTTCTCCAGTACATCCTCTCCTGGCGAATAAGCCAACTGAGAGAGTGACTCGTTGCTTTGTTTTCCTACTGAGCCAACTCATGATGCACCGTTGCTCTCCTCCCAGCCCACTTCTCCTGCCCTCCTCCTACAACCACCTCTTATCCCCGCCCCCCTCACCTCTCCTCTCTGCCCGTCCTTGTCCCGTCCTTACCTCTCCTCACCCCCAGGTGTCTCTCTCTCTCCCCAACCTCAGCATCTGTAGTTACACAATGGTCAGCCAATCACAGGCCACCAACTCATCTCTCTGCCCAACCTCACCACACCTTTGCCCCTCCTCACCCCAGGTACCTCTATCTTCAACCTCCGCATCTATCATAGCACAATGGTCAGCCAATCGCAACGTGCCACGTGTGTGCCAGCTGCTGCTGGCAGCAGATTCTGCTACAGAAATGGGGTTTTTGGAGACTGCAATTCAACATCTAGGGAATGTGGGAATGCAATTAGAGAAGTGCGCATTTGTCAAGCATGGCGAGGGTCGTCACTGCACCTTCTACTCTGTATCGTTTTGTATACAGTAACAGCATGGTTTAAGTGCTTGTTATAGGTTGCATCAAGTACAGCTATATCAAGAGCTTGTCGTAATGGGTGTATTCGTGAAAAGGAGTTCCCACCCAATGTATGCTGTGATGCTGCAACTGGGGTAGGCAAGGCAAGGCACTGCTTGGGGGAAGGAAGGATGTTTGATTTATTTCATTGCGTTCAACTGCTGTGTGGAGGGAAGCAGATCAGTCAACTGGTGGTTGCGGACACTGCTGGGGAAAGGTTTTACATACCGGTACCAGTAGTTGGTGGTGTTTAACAACTGGCAGACATGGGTTGCAAAGGGGCTAGTTAGAGGTTGTAACCTTTACCCATGTATTACAAAAGAGTCCCGACAATATTCACATTTTGGCAACCTAGAACAGGTGGAGATACACTTCACATTATCATAAAACAGAAAGAGAAGAAAATATGAGAAAGATAATACAATATTACACCAGGTACTGCCAGAAAGGCCTTCCCCCAGCATACCCACTACCTCACATAAGAAGCAACAGCATAGCTCACTCAAACCCAAACTTCTACAACCACTGAGGCTTTCATTTACAAAATTGATCACTGTGCACCCTCGCCCTCGCCTCGTTCCAGCTCCCAAGACCACCCTGCCTCCTTGTCAAGCCAAGGGAGAGCGGTTCGTGAACGTTCCCCATCTTTTGAGGCGTATCACAATACAATCGGTCCAAGCCTGTGATTACAGTGCCGCCTCACAAGTGGGTGCAAAGTTTTCATTATGTCATGGTGAACGAGAGCAGCTTGCGAGAGGCCGTTCCCAGCTGAGTCACGGCCGCCGCTGGCTGTCCTGCTGCCGGCGCCGGCTTTACCATAATTTCCACCATGTAGATGGGATGGGTGAGACGGACGGGGAACCCGTTCGCCTGCCTATTGTTGGGGGGCGCGGCGTGGAAGGAGACGCGCCACTTGATGCCATCGTCCGCCTGCGGCTGCTGCTGCTTCCACAAAGACTTCATCAGCTTGAACTTGAAGCCCACGTTCTGGCGCGGTGGGATGGGGTGCGATGGGTTGGGATGGGATGGGCTGGGATGGGGTGGGAGATGGAAAAGGAAGGGGAGAACTTGAGGCTTTTCACAGAGCATTGTACCACCACGTGGTGATCAGGCTTGTAGTTTTGAGACATCTATGGGGCACCTCCGAAAGTTTAGGGTGCTGGCGCTCCTTCGAAGACAGAGCGGCAGTGGGGCTCCTCCAGTTACCTACCTCTTTCAGAGTCGTTTCTCCAGGTACCTACTACCTCCAGAGTCTTTTCTCCAGGTACCTGTGCGCATCAACGGCGAACTTGGCCAACACAAGTAATTCATTAGGCACCTCAAAACACTAAATGGCACTGAGCCTTCTCTAGGTGCCTACCTCTTTCTTGTTGTGTGCGTCGACAGCGGACCTTCCACACAGACTTCGCCCACTTGAACTTGAGGCCCGCGTTCTGGCGTGGTGGGATGGGGTGGGAGCATTTTCCGCGTTCTTATTGACCTGGATTGTGGGTTCGCCAGAGGTAGTGCTGAGCAAGAGCTGGTGTGGGGACAACAATGAGTACCTGCCTCACAAGGAAATGATTGAAGGTTCCAGTCTAACGTCTTCAACGTTCATTCAAGGGTTCTAACCGGAAAATATTCAAGCATGGTTTGATTAGTGCTAGAGAATTGGCCAAACAACGGCCTTATGAGTCGCAAACATGGTCTTCATTTTTTTTTAAGCTGTCTGATTTGTCCGAGTCGTCCTCTGTCCGACTTTGAATCTTCAGTGCCGAGTTGGAAATTTTGCCAACCAGCATCGCCGCTCCAGCATGAAGAGCTAGCTACAGTAAAATACAGGGTTTTACTCGTCCAAAAAGTCCTGGTCCTGAAGCAGGATCAGCCAGGGCAACAGAGACTGGTGCAGTAAGAGGTGTGACAGTGGTGTGGGCGCGGAAGAAGCACTGAGATTCGCCGGAGTCAAGCGTGAAGGACAGCGACGCGTCAGTCGTGGGTACACCTGGGCTAGTAACTACACAGGCACCTACACTAGAAACACAAGCACCTACACTAGCAACAAGCAAGGATCCTAGTCTAGGAACACCCGAGCCAACAGATCCAATGGCTCTATATAGTCGACATTAGCATACATGGCATATGCATAAGCACAAACATCATCCATGTTCAGATCAAACACCTAATGCGACGAGCAACCAGCGTCGAACAGTTCGGGGGGACTGCCTCAGGGCCGTGTCGATGACGGTAGAGGTCATCGAGGCGCAGCAGCACACTGCAGAGTGGTCAGGGCGCTCGCAGTAGGCGCCCCCACCTAGACCCATTTGGATCCAGTAGTCGCAGGGGCCAACGACTTGGCCAGTGGGACGAGGTCCCTAGCTGGTGTGGCCACTGCTGTGGCCAGCGCTCCCTAGACCACCAGGTCCCCACTGCTACGGAGGACCCTACTGCTGGAACTGCTGCTGCGGCTGCACCTGCTGCTGCGGCTGTAACTGCTGTGGCTGCTGCTGCTGTGACTGCTGCTCTTGCTGTGCTCCCGCCCCACCTCCAGGGCCTGTGCCTCCACCTGCCAGGCCCGGAGGCCCGGTACCACCTCCACTGCTACCTCCACCAGGCGCACTGGTACCACCACCACCTCCGCCACCCCCACCTCCACCACCGCCACCACTACCACCACCACCACCACCCTTCCCCCTTTCTTACCTCCCTTGCCCCGTTTCTTCCAACCAGTGGCAGAAACAGCGGTAGTATCCTCAGGAACAGATGATGCAGCAGTGGCAAGAGAAGCAGTGAAGGTGGGAAGCTGGGCACAGCACACCCCTCAAAGAGACAGGGAATTACTGCGGCAGTAGCACAGGCAACAGAGAGGAGGTTACTCTTAATCTTAGTGAGAGTGCTCTCAAGAAGATTGATCCTAGGCTCACTGGGGTGCTTCTGAAGAAGCACGTTGTGGGCAGAGGAGAGGCCGTCAGAGAGGCGTGTGACCATCCTGTGTAGGGCAAGCCACATAGGCGGGGGGGGCGAGGGCAAGCTGGGCCTCGGTGCAAGCGGCACGGAAGCTAGTGTCTAGGGAACGTAGGTGCGTAACAAGGTTGGAAACCGTCTCAAACAAGCCATGTTCAGGGAACACGAATGGCATGAGGAGGCGGCTGCGGGAGGCAAAGGAAGGGGTGGAATAACGAGCAACAATAGCAGTATAACACTCCTTCGCAGACTCGACCTGGGAGAAGTGGGCGTCCTCAGCCGGTGGGAGAAGGTCCGTCAGTGCGAGGCAAGCAGCAACGTCACGAGAGTCCCAGACGTCACGCGCCAAGAACAGCCTGTCGTACGTCACCTTCTCCGTGTCGGTGGGAGAGGGATCAGTAGGCAGGGGACTAGGACGCTGCGGGGCTGGGAGAGCGCCGGACGCGCGAGCGAACAGAGTGGCGCCATCCTGATATTGGCTCGTAAGGTGCCGCCGGGCCTGGTGGAGCCACGTGCTTAAGTATATAGGATGACCCTCTGCATCGAAGAGAAAAACTCTAGCGGACGCCATAGGAAGCGGTAGGAGTAGCCGGAGCTAGGAGTGGTTGGAGCTAGGAGTGGCTGGAGCTAGGAGGGGCCGGTTTTAGAAGCAACTGGAGAGAGAAAACAGCTGGAGAGGGAGCACTAGCTCCAGGGCGTGAACTCTAGGAATGACACTCTAGGCAATGATGCTTCGGGAAGCGTGAGAAACGTCGGAGCACTAACCCTACTCCGTGCCAGTGGTAGTGATTGCGGCTGCCAGTCACTGCTGGAGGTGCCAGTGGTAGTAGGTGTGCACGAGACAGTGAGCATGGTTGGAGTGATGTGGGGCACGGAGAGAACTGCTGGTGGCTATTGCTACCGGTGCTGCTGGCACTACCGGCTGGTGGCTGCAAGGGCGGCTGTTGCTGTGGGCGGTTGGGAGGGGGTGCTGTGGGCAGCTAGCTCTGCTGCTGGTGGCTAGCTCAGCTGCTGGCGGTTGGCAATTGGTGGCTAGTGCTGTTGAGGGTGCGCGGCTGCAGCTGCTGAGCGCCTATGCGTGTGGCAGGTCGTGTGCGCGACTGCTGCTGCTGCTGCTGCTGCGTGCGCGACTGCTGCTGCCGTTGCATGCTCAGCTGTAGCGCACGTTGTTGCTGCTGCATGCGCTGCTACTGTGCGTGGGCGCGTGCGTGACTGCAGCTGCGAGCGTGGCTACTGCTGCGCTCGCGCCGCTGCTGTCGTGCGCACGACGGTAGGAGGGGAGGGGAGGGAGGGGCGCGCTACCGTACTACCGTAGGAACGTAGGAGCTAGGGGCGTTCGGCCAGTGGCTTAGGAACTACCTAGCGTGATACCATATCAAAGTGAAT